GCCCCCAGGGGGGCCCCCAAGGAAGAGGACGATATGAAGAAGATAGAGGAGCTGCTGCTGCAGATATACGGAGAAGCAAACAAACAGCTTGCTGCTGCTGCTGCTGCTGCTGCTGCTTCTGCTGCTGCAGCAGTTGATGCACCGGGTGAAGAAGCAACAGCAGCAGCAACAGCAGCAGCAACAGCAGCAGCAGCAGGGAGAGGAGCAATCCCACAAGCAGCAGCAGCAGCAGCAGCAGCAGCAATGCGAGACAGGGAGGCATCTTTGTCTACTCTTGTTGCTGTTGCTGCTGCGCTAGCTGAAGCAGCAGCACTGCAGCAAGCAGCAGCTGCTGCTGTTGCTGCAGCCCTCTGCAGCAGCAGCCGTCTGCTGCAGCAGCAGCTGCAGCAGCAGCAGCAGCAGCAGCAGCAGCAGCAGCAGCAGATGAGGGGCCCCTTCGAGTCCCTGTGTCGCTGCTTTTGCTCCTTCTTGTCAACACTAGCGCTGCAGCAGCAACAGCAGCAGCAGCAGCTGCTGCAGCAACTGCAGCAGCAGCAGCAGCGCGAACGAAGGCGGCTGAAGCAGCGGCAGCGGGAGCAGCTGCAGCAGCTGCAGCAGCAGCAGCAGCAGCAGCAACAGGAGCTGCAGCAACAACAGCAGCAGCTGCAGCAGCTGCAGCAGCAGCAGCAAGAAGAGGAGCAAAGGCATATGCAGCAGCTGCAGCAGCAACAGCAGCAGCTGCTGCAGCAGCAGCAGGATGATAGTAAGCGTATATTTATCGATTGTCTTCTTTCTTTGCTGCAGCTGCTGGAGCAGCAGCAGCAGCAGCAGCAGCAGCAGCAGCAGCAGCAGCAGAACACTGCCCCCTTCAATCAATATGGGGGGCCCCCCTTCCTCTCCCTCCCGCTGCTGCGGCAGCTGCTGGGGGCCCTAAAGACAGCAGCAGCAGCACCAACATCTCTGCTGCAGCAGATAGATGCAGCAGCAGCAAACCAGCTGCAAGCCCTCCTCATCAATACAAAAGGCAACCCTTGGGGGCCCCCCCATAGGGGCCCCCATAGGGGCCCCCCACTGTACCCTCTGGGGGGCCCCCTGGGGGCCCCCCTGCAACATTCTCATGGGGGCCCCCTGGGGGCCCCCCTGGGCCCCCCCCTAACAGCAGCCCTAGGGGGGGCCCCCCAACAGGTCTCCGAAGGGTCCCCCCTAGGGGCCCCCCTAGGGGCCCCCTTGACGGCAAACTCTATAGGGGCCCCCATGGGGGCCCCTATAGGGGGCCCCCTAGGGGCCCCCCTATCAGCCGCCGCAGGAGGGGGCCCCCTAGCAGCAACCCTAGAAGCCCCCATAGGGACCCCTCTAGGGGGCCCCCTTGGGGGCCCTATAGGGGCCCCCCTAGTACCCCCCTTGGGGGCCCCCCTAGGGCCCCCCTTGGGGGCCCCCCTAGGGGCCCCCGAAGGGTCTCTCCTAGGGGCCCCCCTAGGGCCCCTCATCGGGGGCCCCCTGGGGGCCCCCGGGGGGGCCCCCCTAGGGGCCCCCAAGGTGTATAAGGAGTGGTGTGAGGGTTGGCGTAGTTTGGTGTTTATAGTTTTTGTGTTTTCTTCGTTGGGGGTACCGTGCCCCCGTTTGCTGCGGCTTGTTGCTGCAGCACTGCAGCAGCAGCAGCAGCAGCTGGTGCAGCAACTGCAGCAGCAGCAGCAGCGACAGCAGCAGCAACAGCAGCAACAGCAGCAACAGCAACAGAAACAGTATTATTATCAACTGCAGCAACACCATAACCAATCGCATCATCATCTTCAGCAGCAACAGCAGCAGCAGCAGCAACAGCAGCAACAG